TTTTTTGCATTTTCACAAATACAATAAAAAAAGTTTCCCTTAACTGCCGAATCGGACATTTCAGTGTCGTCAATATTTCACTGAAATGCAGTCGAGTAGAATTATAAAGTAGGAGAAAATATTTAAATAAATTACAAGTACCTCAAAATTGTACCCAAGTACAGTACTTGAGTAAAAGTACATAGTTACTTTCCACCACTGCCAATCTGTGAGATCAGGCCAGATGTGACAGATCCTGATTATAAACTGATATTTGGTCACTATCATCACATAATATAATGCCTTCACTATAATATACATTATTTCAGTCGCAGTGAGCTGCTGACTGTTTTAGTACTACTGCAGTCCATCGCCTCATGTTATCTTACATAAAAATTATTCCCATAAATTCCACTCTGTGTGGCATACAGAGTTTAAATTTGCGGGGAAAGAGAGGACTGGTTTGCATGAGTTGAGGAACTTAATAAAACCATTGCATGAAACAAGTGGTTTGGTGCATCACAACAGACGTGGACTCCTTCCTGCAGTTACAAAAATGATCCATCTGGTGTTCGGTAAAGTTTTTTTAAGCCATTTCACGAAGATGTAAATGTATAATGCATGATTGATGCATGCTCTATGTTTCAAAAAGTGCCACACAAAAATCAAGTTTCCTATTAATTTGGCGTGTGCTACTGTTTAGCCTGATAAGGAAAACACTTAAAAAGCTGACTGAAGTGGGTGTAACATCACTCACAGCCTTCTGAAAGCACCAGTGGAGTTAAGGGTTTACTGACTGCAACTATCTGGAGCAAGAAAATCTAAATTTGGGTAAAGCGATGGGGCTTGGGAGGAGCCGAGGGCGCAGAGCAAGTAACAACTGCCACTGACAGGTAGAGCTGCAACGGTTAATCGAATAATCGATTAGTTATCGACTATAAATTTAATCACCAACTATTTGGATAATTGATTAATCAGTTTGAGTCATTTTTTAACAAAACTTATTTGAATCCAGCTTTTTAAAGTGTGAATGTTTTCTGGTTTCTTTCCTGCTTTATGACAGAAAACTGAATTGTTGTGGACAAAACAAAACATCATGGGCTTTGGGAAACACTGATCGACACATTATAGACTTAACAGCTAATCGATTAATCGAGAACAAAAACAGATTAATCAGCAATGAAAATAATCTTTAGCTGCAGTCTGGGACAAGAGCTGGGACACTTGGTAAATCAAGCACACAAACAAATATCTGTATATCACCAATTTAGTATTATTTTTGTTTTAAAAAAGGAAACATTATGAAAATCGAGAGAGCTCCACTTGTTTGGCTTTTTGCACTCACATCAATACAGTCGGCATCTAAAGGTCATTGAAGGAGCTGCACCTGGGAGCCAATTAGGCATTCAGTTTTATAAGATCTCAGTCTAGTGGTTTAGTCTGACCTGGATTCAGTTTCTGAGTTTTCACACAGGAAACGTGGCATTTAACAGCCCTGAGGCTGCAGAGGGTTTATCTGTGTTTATTGTGCTGCAGTTTTAAATAATCATAAGAGGTGTTAAAATGTTTAAATCTGTTGTTTTGGTTAAAATATTAACTGTTAATTAAGCATTGAGCTTTAAACCTCAGGAGGTCTATCCACAGGAAAGGTCTTCAGCACCAGTTTCATAATAAAAAAACACAAACATTATCTGGTTCCAGCTGATTCAGTGTGAAGATTTATGTTCTCATTTAAACATAGGGGGGGGTGTATGACCTCTAAGAACTGAACATTTGAATTTGGACTATTCCTGTATCAATAGTAGAAATGATCATCAATGTGTGTTGACTTTATCTTGAGCTACTTTATGGCAAATTCTTCAACCATGTAGGATATTTTAACACACACAAACACACACGAGAAGACAGCATATTCTGGGGGCATTTCTCCACATACTGTATTAGGCTGTAACAAATATTATTTAAGAATTAAATAGAAACTATATGATAAAATACCTTTAAATTGCCATCACAAGTTAAAGATGTTATTTTGCTTATTTTATCTGGAGCAACACGGATGTTCGGGTTAAAAACAAACAAATGTTCGCATTTGAGGAGCTGTTACCAGCGTTTTCTGGTCATTTTTATAATGCAACTGAGAGAAGACTATTAAATTACCAAAAGAAATAGCTAAACCATCGTGCCATTTGTGCACTTTTGCAGTTAGTATGTCTTGTTGGAGGCAATATTGAGATAACAGACGCTTACCTGTGATCAGCAGCTGTGTCCATATTAGACAGAAGACAAGAAACATGGAGAGAAATCCTGCTCCTCCTCTGCGACCCATTCTTCCTTTCTGCAGCTCAAACTGAAATAAATCGGGTCCTGCAGATTCTCTCAGTGTTGTTATTAAAATGCATCAAGGAAAGCAGCCGGTGTATATTTCCGTACTTCTATCTGTAGGTCCGCAGCATGAGGGAGGAGACGCCGCCAGAGCTCCAGAGAGACGCTCCAACACCGGTTCCCTGCGAGGCTCCTTCCCCGCCCTTCGATGTCCTCCAGCGGCCTGGCTATAGCAGGAACAGCCGCTATGCAGCAGGAGCAGCTCCGCCTGACATTCAGAGACAACAGGGAGGTGTTTGGCGAGATGTGGTTCAGGTGGAGGCTGGTGGTGATGATGAAGAGAGAGGAAGAGGACATTTAGTCAAGATTTGATGACAATAAATCTATCTGTGTGTGTGTGTGTGTGTGTTTCCTGGTTAATTTTATTTTATTTGTCAGTTTGTTTTATTTTTTAGCCATGTTAGCAGCCGGGCAGTGTCGATAACGTTAATAGTTGTCTATAACAACAAAGCTACAGATCGATAAAAATAAAAGTGTAAAGTTACAGTTTATAAATAATCAAACTGTCCCCCAAAATGTTTACGTTGAGCCACCAACAAGTCAAAATCTTCGAAACTTCGATTCACGATATAATAACTTAACGTGACCTCGAACAGAAGCGTTAATGCTAATATAGCCACATTAGCATTAACGCTTGTTAATGCTAATATAGCCACTATGCTCAAAATTAGCATGTTACATTAACATGCTAATGCCCGTTTAGGCTAACATAACATCAACTCCTAATTTAACCCTAAGCAGCAAAGTGGGGGAAACGTCCACGTCAACTATTGATGATGGAAATTTGGAAATTTTAATATGATTCCCAAGTGATAAAAGCACCGCAGCCTCAGCTAGCAATACTGAAGTAGCAGCTTGTTATTTACTCTACAGCTAATTTAGCTAACTATGCTAATGCCGTGTCACTTTATACCGTCTCAATCAAAATACAATGTGATATGTAAAATCACACAAACCGTAATTACTCGCAGTAAAGCGGGGAGAAGCATTCACATCAGGCCGTAGTTGTAATTATGAGTCAATTATAACATTTATGGCAGTTAGAAATAACCACTAGCTTAACGTAATTAAAGTTAAAACAGTTCAACCTGTGGCAAAATGGCCGCCACTGACGACAACCGTTAGCCCGTATCTCCACATAAAATAATAATAAAACAATTGATTTCGCCGATTAAAAAGGAGCTAACAAGTCTGTTTTCAGTTTATATTAAGGATTTGCCTCTTAATCTGTTATTTAAAAAATTAATTTAGCTGTTTTCTCTGTCATTGTGTGCCAACCTCAGCAGTTTTGGATGAACTGGGTTGGTTTCCAGCTGCATGCTTAACTCTGTTTAATTTGTCTGCTCACATCTGATCATCAGGAATGTTTTTTTGGATTTACAGAGATGGGACCAAATCCTTCTTTTACAAAGTCACAAAGTTTCAACTCAAGTCCCAAGTCCAGACAAGCAGGTCCGAGTCGTGATCCGAGTTTCGAGTCCTAAACAAGTCATAATGTTTTCTTCACCAAATTTAATACAATTTCTTATTTTTAACAAGAGTTAAATTATTGATTAAAGCATTAACCTGCTTTAAGAAAAAGGCTGAGGCTCAGTTTCACACAACAAATGTATAATTTCATGAATTAAATGAAGTGTTAATGCGCTGCATAGTTTTATGTACATGATAATTTATATTTGGACTTGGGGAGGGTATTAAGTCAATTCAAGTCAAAAGCCTCAAGTCCAAGTGAAGTCACGAGTTGCAAGTCTTGATTTTGGCAAGTTGAACGTGACTCGAGTCCACAGCTCTGGTGATTAATCCTTTACATTATCAACGCCAGACTTTAATTTCAGCATCTAGGCCATCATTACATCCTATTAGATATTAAGGAGGAGACGAGCCTCACTCTCCAAAGAACAATGAAATCCAAACAGAAAAATCCACTTTTACAATGTCTGTGAAGAGTCTCAGTCATCCAGGTCATAGTTTTTGAAGGCTGGGTTAAATCAAGGGTTACTGGACTGGGTTGAAGACACTTGAAGATTATCTCCTCTCATCCAAGACTTCCTGGCAGGGAGTCCCAGTTATTTAACCACTGTGGGGTCGGTATGAAGGTGATGGATACCGCTTGGTTCGTTATTGCTCCTGGTTATTGTATTGCATTGTCACATGAGGCCAAATGTGAGCGTTTTTTTCAGTTTCCTGGGAAGGGATGAAAGGACAGCATTGTAAGTGAGGTGTCTCAGCCGTCCTCCCATGTTGAGAGATGGTTTCTCTACTCTGGTGTAAATGGTTTTTTTCAGTCCTCTTTCGATCCATCTGTCCTCCCGGTTCAAGACCTTCCAGTCAGTCAGAGCTAAAGAAGCCTCTTGGATGAGAGGTGAAAAATCTTCGAGCCTCTTCAACCCAGTCCAGATCCCCTTGATTTTAACCCACCTTGGATAACTACTATGAGACTCTTTATAGACATTTCATTGTTCTTTGGAGAGTGAAGCTCATCTCCTCCTCAATATCTTATCCTGAAGCAGCTTCCTCTACCTCCCATCTTTTGCAGGAAGCCCTGCCCATCATCTGTCTCCTCGTTTCACTTTCATAACCTGCTCCGAACAACAGTCAACTCAGGTCAACATCACTGTCCATTTGGATGTTTTTCCTCTAACCAGCAGCAGCAACATGCCTCTGGTAAACCCCTGGCTCAGGTGCCTCTTCATCAGCTTCAACGTCTTCTTCGGGGTGAGTAACTGGATTTTAAAGCAGGCTACTTGTGTTTTTTGAGAAGATACAAAGTGCACAGAGGAGAACAGTGATGATGACTTGCAGCTGAAACAGAGAGAACATTAATGACCTCTGCTGGTGAAATACAGGAGGTGCATTTATGAGTCAGGGTTTAAACAAACCGGAACAGGGCTTTGCATTTCACTGTTATTGATTGATTGTTTGTTTGTTTTTACGTTAAAAAACACAAGCCAAATCCATAGTCATGGCCACATTAAGCCAATTACAAAGTCAGCCTGCTGCTCAAGCCCTCACTAAGACCAACAAGGAGTATCTCTCCAGTTCTGAGGTCTTTACACTGGCTTCCTGTCTGTCAATGAATTTTTAAAATACAGCCGTTGGTTTATAAAGCACTGAATGGTTTTGGGTCAAAATACATTTCTGATCCATCCAGACCTCTCAAGTTGTCTGGGATCAGGTCTGCTCTCTGTCCCCAGAGTCAAAGCTTAACCTGGAGGAGCAGCGTTTCATTTTTATGCTCCATATATCTGGACCAAACCCCCTAGAAAACTGCAGGTCTGCTTTAAATCACAGCTAAAGACTTTGTCATTTTGCCCCTGCCTTTTATTAAATTCCAGGCTTTTAGATTAATATTTTACACTGCATTGTAACTTTTACTGTCTGTTTGTTTGTTTTCTATCTTAGTTGAATTAAAATGTCTTTTTATATTACCCTATGTTGCTTTTACATTTAGTCTTTGTTTCATGTTTAGCACTTTGACTTGTTGTCGAAATGTGCTACACAAATAAACCTGCCTGCCCTGAAAGAGTCATGTGACTCACTTTATGTCAAACTGACTGATTTACGGTCAGTTTGATAAATGGAAAATATTACAGATGACCTCAGCAGAGCTGTATCAGGTCTGCAAAGAGCCCCAAGCTTCAGTGTAAATTGAAACTTACCAGCTGCTCTCTGTTTACAACAGTGAAACAGTTCGTCTGTATTTGTTTTTCCACCATTAGGGCTGCAACTAACAATTATTTTTAATATCAATTTATCTTGTGATTTTTCCAGTAAGTTTTTTGGACTATGAAATGTCAAAATATAGCAAAGGGGACATCTTCAAACATCTTGTTTTGTTCAACCAAAAGACCAAAGCCCAAGATTTTCAGTTTACACTGATATAAAACAAAACAAAAGCAGCAAAAGCATTTTTTCCAGCTAATCAATGAATCAACTATTGGTTTCAGCTGTAGGCTTCATTTTATACAAATGCAAATTTGTGCAATTGAAAGTTCTTAACAGGATTCTAAGAGATTAAAACAGAAAAGCAGAAACAAGTATGTATACTCATATATAAACACGCATGTACATTCGCTCATACTCATACCATCATATATATAACAAATCTCATGTGCAGACTCAAACAACACCTCACAGATATATGAGTTCATGTTTAAAAAGGCTCAGTCATTTCCTAAAACAGCTGCTTGCTGTAGTTTCTATCAGACAGGAGGAAGTAGTGCATATGTTGGGGATTATTTTCAGCGGCTGATGAATCCACGTGTGCTCTAGTCGGCTCTACTGAGTATCTGGGGCAGCAGGACGGACAAACATTATATAGTATGGATTATGGACTGCATCTCTAGTTCATTTGCAAATAATTATCCATGACTGGCAAAGAAAAGTGCAGCCACGTATTCCAACAAATATACAGTGGGTACGGAAAGTATTCAGACCCCTTTAAATTGTTCACTCTTTGTTTCATTGCTGCCATTTTCCAAAAATCAAAAAAGTTCATTTTATTTCTCAGTAATGTACACTCAGCACCCCATCTTGATAGAAAAAAACAGAAATGTAGAAATTTTTGCAAATTTATTAAAAAAGTAAAACTGAAATATCACATGGTCATAAGTATTCAGACCCTTTGCCGTGACACTCATATTTAACTCAGGTGCTGTCTATTTCTTCTGATCATCCTTGAGATGGTTCTACGCCTTCATTTGAGTCCAGCTGTGTTTGATTATACTGATTGGACTTGATCAGGAAAGCCACACACCTGTCTATATAAGACCTTACAGCTCACAGTGCATGTCAGAGCAAATAAGAATCATGAGGTCAAAGGAACTGCCTGAAGAGCTCAGAGACAGAATTGTGGCAAGGCACAGATCTGGCCAAGGTTACAAAAAAATTTCTGCTGCACTTAAGGTTCCTAAGAGCACAGTGGCCTCCATAATCCTCAAATGGAAGACGTTTGGGACGACCAGAACCCTTCCTAGAGCTGGCCGTCCGGCCAAACTGAGCTATCGGGGGAGAAGAGCCTTGGTGAGAGAGGTAAAGAAGAACCCAAAGGTCACTGTGGCTGAGCTCCAGAGATGCAGTCGGGAGATGGGAGAAAGTTGTAGTAAGTCAACCATCACTGCAGCAATCCACCAGTCGGGGCTTTATGGCAGAGTGGCCCGACGGAAGCCTCTCCTCAGTGCAAGACACATGAAAGCCCGCATGGAGTTTGCTAAAAAACACCTGAAGGACTCCAAGATGGTGATAAATAAGATCCTCTGGTCTGATGAGACCAAGATAGAACTTTTTGGCCTTAATTCTAAGCGGTATGTGTGGAGAAAACCAGGCACTGCTCATCACCTGTCCAATACAGTCTCAACAGTGAAGCATGGTGGTGGCAGCATCATGCTGTGGGGGTGTTTTTCAGCTGCAGGGACAGGACGACCGGTTGCAATCGAGGGAAAGATGAATGCGGCCAAGTACAGGGATATCCTGGCCGAAAACCTTTTCCAGAGTGCTCTGGACCTCAGACTGGGCCGAAGGTTTACCTTCCAACAAGACAATGACCCTAAGCACACCGCTAAAATAACGAAGGAGTGGCTTCACAACAACTCCGTGGCTGTTCTTGAATGGCCCAGCCAGAGCCCTGACTTAAACCCAATTGAGCATCTCTGGAGAGACCTGAAAATGGCTGTCCACCAACGTTTACCATCCAACCTGACAGAACTGGAGAGGATCTGCAAGGAGGAATGGCAGAGGATACCCAAATCCAGATGTGAAAACCTGTTGCATCTTTCCCAAAACGACTCATGGCTGTATTAGATCAAAAGGGTGCTTCTACTAAATACTGAGCAAAGGGTCTGAATACTTATGACCATGTGATATTTCAGTTTTTCTTTTTTAATAAATTTGCAAAAATTTCTACATTTCTGTTTTTTTCTGTCAAGATGGGGTGCTGAGTGTACATTACTGAGAAATAAAATGAACTTTTTTGATTTTTGGAAAATGGCTGCAATGAAAAAAAGAGTGAAAAATTTAAAGGGGTCTGAATACTTTCCGTACCCACTGTATTATCCTCACAATGTATAAATATTTTCTCAGTTTTAAAAGAAAAGTCTTTCCATCTTGTGCATCTCTTCGATGATTTACAGCCAGTTCTCCTCGGTAGGTGGATCGGCCTATGCCTATTGCAAGCTTTATTTGCTGCTGCAGTAAATATTTTATAGGGTTTTCTGTCATTTCTTATTCCTTTTGTCAAATAGAGTGACACTTATGTCAATGGGATCTGCAGCCCAAGAATCTGTTGTGCGATTCACCAGATTTTTCCCCAAAATATTTGTACCTTTGCACAGGTCTAAAAGAAAAAAACAACATTCCAACAGAATTCACACAAATAAGAAGAACAAGAAGTAGAAATGATAATAATAATAAATTAGATTTATATAGCGCTTTTTAAATGATCTTTATTGGGGGAAAGATTAACCTGCGATGGACTGGCGTCCTGTCCAGGGTGTACCTGGCCTTTCGCCTGAGGTCAGCTGGGATTGGCTCCAGCCCCTCGCGACCCTGTACGCAGGATAAGCAGTTGATGATGGATGGATGGATGGATGGGGGAAAGATAAAAGTAATTAATTAAAAAGAAAAGGAGGGGAGAGAGGGAAAGGATGTTAACTGGGGAATGCAGTCTTGAAAAGGTACAGGTTCATTGTTGACTGGTTATTTTGTCATTAAATTATTTCCACATCTGTCTTTGATATAGATTGTGGTAGTTTTCCTCCTGTCCTCTTATGTCTTAGATCTGTGGTGGACTCATCATCATCGTCTCCTTGGCTCTGCTGTCTCCGTCGCTGGACGACTTGCATGGAGGAGAAGACGTAAGACGGAAACACCAGCTATCACTGGAGACACACCCAAAATCATTGCACATCACTAACCGGCCAACCAACTCTCCAAAATGCAGGTTGAAGTTCAGAGAACCAGTCGCTACACTACAGTTGTCCTCTACATCGCTGGCTCTGTTATCATGGCGATCGCCATCTTGGGAGCCTATGGAGCCTTTAAGAAGAACCGGGTAACTCTGACTGTGGTGAGCAGAAACCTCAGAAACTAAATGTAGTGACCACTAACAGTCCAGGTCACTTGCGGTGCACAGGAGGACATGAAACCCTGAGATACTTAAATGATCAGTGTAGTTTATTTCTAACAAAGAAAGCACCGAATTTATCATCAGAAAACAACAAACGACACGGTGGGAACTGACAAGCCGCTACCTGTCAATCAGGATCGCGGTGACTCGTATCTGCTGCACTGTGTATATTTAGTGAGCAGTGAACTTGTTGTTGCGACTTCACTGCCTTATTTTCCCGAATTATTACGCCAATATGCCGGCTTGCCGCGCTAAATGAAAGGTACGGAGCCGGAAAGGGGGGTCTGATTTGATCAGCCTCTGAGCCGGGAACGTTGGTAGTAACAGAGACAGTACGATGTTTGTATAACAAAAGTCCTTTTCCCCAGGTTCTGTCTTTATGTGTTGTCGTGGAAAATTGTGGTATTCCTGGTGAGGGATTGAGCAAATCATTGAGTTACAACAAACCATTGTCTTTTGAAGAATTGATTATTAAAAGAGAATAAACAGAGAAGTATTAAAACTCATATGCAGATGGATCAGAGGACCTAGGACAGTCACTAACGTCTGGCCCAGAGCAAAGGGCTGCATGATCATTTACAAAGTCTGGGTTTCTATGTTTTGGGGAACAAAGATCGCTGTCACAGCTAGTAAGAAAAACAATAAAACAACTTCACCTCCCTGACCCTGATGTGGACAGACTACAATAATGAGTATAATAATAAAAGAACAGGTTAAAGATTAAAAACAATATATAAGACATAATAATAATAATAATATAAAATAGTACTATTAGTACTTGCATAACAAATTAGAAGGAGAAGAAAAAACAATTCTCTGCCATCACATGTGTCACTTAGGGACAGACTCTAAAAATCTTACCAATCAGAACGTTCCCTTGTGTAACGGGGGCCTCCAACTGGGCCAAAGTGTGATGGCTTACAATTCTGTCTTCAATTCATAGCCAATCAGACAGACTCACTCGCATCCAAACCCACCAGCAGGAGGAGTGCAGCGTGAAAGGTTTAAAAACTGATGTCGGGACAGATGTCCGGTGTCCTGCAGGCTGAAATTTGTACAAACGTTTGGTTCCAACAAACCTGATAGTGGTTATTGATAACTTTAAACCTAACTTTAAATTTGCCTCCACCCCAAACATTTCATTCAAAACCAAAAAGAGAAAAACTACATGGATCTTCTTTCTTATGATGACTTCTGGTTTCATTTTCTCTGCAGTTCCTGGTGTGTACGGTCATTGGAAGTCTGCTGATGCTCCAAGCTGGAGTCTCTGCTGCCAAAGCCCGACCCAAGGTAACAACCCTGACTGTTTCTAAGAGTCTACAGCAAACTCCCTGCCCTGACTCTTAACAAGACTGCAGCTAAAACCTTAGCAAACAGTATGTCAATCTGTTAATATGAATGTATCCCTGAAATGTATGTAGTATTTTATGAATTCTGTAAATATAAGCTCATAAAGAAGCTCCTGGATGACCTCAACGTGGTAACGCCACATCACCTGCAGATCCAATTTAACAACTTTGGTGCCAGTTTTTGAAATTTGAAAGACATTTCATTCAGTGATAATATTTTCCCTAATCCTATTTATATGTTTTTAATTCAACTAAACCTTTCAATTTTATTACCCAGTCTGTTGTTGTGTTCTGATGATCGTAGGCCAATGTTCAAAGCAAATAAATGTCTTTAATGTCTAATTACAGCATCAGTTTATCTATTTCATGAATGAATTCATAAATCACAAAGTAATTTTTAAATTTGAAACCTTTTCCAAAATATATTTATGGCTCAAAATGGCTTCCAAATATCTGTCCACTGTAGAGGACGTCATGCAAGGAATGAGTTTCACCTGCAGGTCCATCTGCTTACATGTTAACGCATCAGACAGGTGCTTACTTTTACTTCCAATACTTTATGCACATTTTGATGATAATAATTCTTTTACTTCAGCAAGATATTGAATGCTGACTTTTACTTGTAATGGAGTATTTTTCCACTGTGCTACCTTTACTTACATCCAATACGACTTTCACCATGGCTTTCTGGTGCTGTTAAAGGGTAATTTTGCTATTTGGGGCCCTATTTTCACAAGTTTGATTTAATTTTTTACCTTTTTTTCTGACATTTTAAAGACAAATTAAGTAACTGAGTTACTAAACAATTGACTGACTGTTTTACTGGATAAACTCCTCCTTATTATCATCAGTTGCAGCCCCAGTGTCTTTCATTTAATTTGCGATGTGTGTTTGTAGTTGGCGAGTGTGATGGAGGAAAGGTGGCGTTCGTTTCTTCCACTGGATCAGGCTTCAGACGACATCAAGAATCAGGCTGAAGCTCTGCAGAAATCAGTAAGATGCTCGCACACGCACAGACACAGTGTGTGTTTTCACATTACAATAATATTTTGGTAAATAATTAGCTTTCTCTTTAAGAGTCATGTGAGAGGATGGATATAAATCTCTGTGTGTTGTAATGAACACTGCGGCCTGTAGGGGGCACTAGCTCTTCTTCTCTTGTGTTTAGCTGCACTGCTGTGGCCTGTTCAGTCATGAGGACTGGAACGGGAACATCCCCGGCTCCTGTCTGTGCAACCAGGAGGAGAAGGAGCTGCAGGGAAAGTGTCACTCCATCAGATACGGAGTCTGTATTATTAAAACACATTTTTGTAAGTCTACATGAACAAAACCAGACCACTGAGTTTCTTTGTGTTTCTGTTCCAGAACTTTGTGTTCAACCTTTTCTGGGAGAAGAAGTCTGTCTTCAGACAGGTCAGTGGACAAAAGATGATTATTAACAGTCTCATCATGCTCTTATGCCTGTGAAGCAGTAAGAGCATGGTGGAGGTTGCTTTTAACCTCAAACAGGAACTTTTTGGAGATCAGAAGGACAGGACTTCTTATTCTCACCATATAGACTTACTAGATACCACGGAGTGTAAATAAAAACATGTGTTTTTCTGTAACGTGGGTGAACTGTGGCTCCTTTCTCTCCTCCCATCACCAGAACTGCTTCCCTCTCCTCCTGTCCTCTGTTACAAGAAGTGCTAACATCATACTGGGCGTCTTCTTCACTCTGTTCGCCCTGGCGGTGGGTTGAATGTTTTGGGATTTTTAGACCCACCACTAATATTAAACAAAATAACTTTTCTCTCAGCCATGACAGAGAATAACTAAAAGTAAATATATATGTTTTATTGGATGCTGTGAGTCAGATGAGAAGATGGATATCTGTTTGTTCTCTGCACATCTTAAGCAGACATGGGTCCAGGATGTGTTTAGCCTAGCTTAGCACAAAGATCGCAAGCAGCAAGAAACTGCTTGGCTAGCTGGGCGCAATGACTGTAAATGATTTACATGTTGTATCAAAGAGTAAGATGGCGTTTGTTGACTAGAACTGGTGGTTAAGACACTGAAGCTAACTAGTTAGGGCTTAATTTCTTCTTCGTACAATTTGTTTGCGTTATGCGTGGTGCACACTAGAGGATTTTCACATGTAAAATGATTTTTAAAAACGTGAGATACCAAAGACATAACGACATTTTTAAGATTTTAATCTTAAGAACACCAGATGATTCAGTTCAGGCGCAGGACCCCACACTCGGCGTTTATACCAAACGGTTTCAGAGTGGCGGTCCCAGGGATCAAAAATGACTTAGGACAGAAACAAACATGGAGGCAGACTGTCGTCGTCAGCTGGTTGCAAAAACAAAAAAAGAGAATCAAACTGTGGATGAACTCGAGGCTGAGAAAAAGAAATCACCACGTGGGTTTATACATTTTATAGCACGAGCAGATACACAACACGCTGGTGACGCTTCCCTGTCAGCTCGCCCTCATTGGATGTTACAGGTTTCTGATTCACACCCATAGCGTGAGGAGTTTAGAGACATACTGTAAAACTTCAATTAATAGCAGAGTCCCAGATAGCCGCCTCCCTCCTTTCCTGGCCTGCTGTGGGACAAGAGAAGAAAAGAAAAAAAAGTGCCGACTCCTGTTACCTTTGAAGCGCTCGTTAAATCTAAATGTGTCCGTTCCGTGATTATTTATCTTCCCTTAGTCTGTCAAAAGAATCAGCTTTTCAGAAAAATGAATCCAAGTTGTGAATCCTGTCACGTGAAGTCCGTCGCTCTCTGTCTGCTAACTTCTCTCATCCTGCACCCTGTTGTTTTTGTCCTTACGTTGCTGCCTACAAATTAAAAGCGCATAAGCCGTCTCTCGGAGCTAGATCAAATGAATTAGTGTATTTGTTATTATTTTAGATATTTTTAATACAAGTAATATTCATACTCTTTGAAATAAATAAACTGTTTTCACAGTAGCCCATTTAGTTTTGTGCAAAAGAAATTAAAGACCCAAATATAGGCAGGGTCAATTCAGTGATTTTAGCAAATAAAAGCCTGGGCTATTAATCAATGTTTTACGGTAATCTTATCAATAGCACCCATACTACGATTCAAAATCAGGGAGCCGGTGATCCAGTCGGTGATTTTAAGATTATATCGCTCACACTACAGGATCTTTTGGGCCAATAATCTGTGGGAAGGGGCGAGTCAAACCCAAACTTGGCCCATTTATCCTCTGGTATGCGGCCGGCATTAGAGGCAACGATCCAGTAGTTGTTGTGGTGTCGAATGACGTCTAATTCCAAAATAAAAATAAAACCACATCTTTTATCTACATGTGGTGTCCTGATAGCCGAGAAGCTTCAACCACAATATCCATTTGTCACACCATTCAACAAACAGGATACGCCCATGGCCGTAACCAGCTATGAGGTCACAGAGGCCCGGAGTCTTTACAAATAGGCTAGATCTTATCAAGAAAAATTCTAATAAAAAACATGTGTGAAATAAGGTGAAGCGAGACACAGTGTGCATTTACACACAAGGTACAGCAACATAACATCATATCTAAATCTCCTGACACGCCCCAGGATCAGTCAGGGTCTAATGTTAATTCATGTTCTTCTCCACATTCAAAAGGTCTCTCACACAGTCCAGGTTCATCCAGTGAAACTGTTCTGAGTAAAGCAGCCGTCCTCCTGATCAATCCTGAGCTCCGTCAGAGCGTCTGAACGTGGATTATAGAAGTTGAATTCTGTTTCCTCTGAAGAGTTTCCTCTGTCACGTTTACTATGTCCCATGATATTTGCTGTGACATAACCGTGCCGTGAAAACGTTTTCACATCAAGGAACCCTTAACGGACACAAATTAAAATAGGATATTGGGTTTTTAGATGTTTAATTAATGAAAATATATGAAACTCATGACCAAAATAGTCATACATTCTGTCATTGAGTTACTAATGAATGGAATTATAGTAAAAAGACCCATGGGGATCCCCACTTTGAGAACCACTGGTTTAAATGACTGACAGCGGCCTCTCTGATCATTAAAGAAAACTCTAATCCTTTTTTGTATGCATTTTGGTATGAATTGCTATAAATAAGCTCTATTAAAAGAAACAAAAGGTCTGGGCTCATTTCTAAACCCTGGCTGCAGCCCTGGACACAACATGTAAATCAGACAGACTTGGACTTGTTTTCCCTTTTTAACAAAGCTACACCAGCAGTTTCCCTGTGCTTTCAGTCTTTAGGCTGAACACACCCAAGACTTTACTTTGTACTGGAGATTAAACTAATCTGACTCTGTAGAAAGAGGATTAGCAAGCATGCTTGCAAGTGAAAGTGTCAAAATTAACTCTTAAGTGTGTTTCCCTGCAGCTGCTGGGCTCGGTGCTGTCTTCACTGATGATCTACCAGATGTACAACACCTCCGACAGGCCGAACATGCCGCTGTTTGTACCAGTGATGTTCATCGACCAGCCGCCTGCCTACCAGCAGCTGGACAACCTGGCAGAGTAGGCGGCTTCAGAACTTAAACCATGATGCGAAACAGCTTCAAGATATTCCTCTGCTTTTCTTTTACCTTAGCCAAGATGGTGCGAGGAGGACTGGACTGTTTGTTGAGGGTCCAAATACTGATGTTTACCTGTCAGATACATTTCAGCAAAATGAATAACTAATTAAAATAGCTTTTTATATATATATATATATATATATATATATATATATATATATATATAAATAAAGGGCATGAGGCTCAGGCTGCTCCAGAAGCTTCTAGCTCTCTCGGGGTCTGAACTACTGGGATCCCACATGAACAGAATTTAAGTCTGATGAAAGTTGTTTGTTTTTTGTATGTTGCTTATTTAGCCATGAATGTTTAATGTTAATAGAGAAAAACGTAGGAGTTTTAAAAGGAGTGCAAATGTAAACATGTCAGGAAAATAAAGAGTCGATTTGCTTCTTAAGAGTGAAAAGTCCTGCTCACACTCTCACCTGACTAATCGTTGCATGAAGTTGGCATGAACGTCCTTTCACACCTCATCGCAACCTGTCTGCACATGTAACACCACAAAGACCATGTGAGTCACTTCCTGCAACTGTACTGGATGAAAGCCAAGACATTGCAAGACACCGATCAAACAAAAACACATCAGCAGTTCAGCTTTCACCCTCAGCAGTTACAAAACAAAGGTTATTGTGTTTCTCAAGAATAAGCTTCTTTTTTTCTCTCAGCTACACACTGGTCTCCTGGAGCTTGCTTCAGTCACATTCCTCTGCAGTGAGTTACTACACCTCCCCTCCCCTTACAGAAACACAACTGCTTTCCAGAAACGAGCCAGGAGCTGGAGTTTATGGGTTTCCACAGTAGTATTTTGAACCACATTTTTCCTTCTTTCGCTTGACGTCAGCTGGGATTGGCTCCAGCCCCCTGCGACCCTGTACGCAGGATAAGCGTTTGGCGATGGATGGATTTTTCCTTCAAACCAGGTTCAATAGGTTCACTTCCCATTATTTATTTTTTCTCCACCAGCTCACTGTTGTTCATGATCTTTCTCTCTGTGCTCGTATCTCTTCATCCTTTCTTAACAGGAAAAGTAGTTTATAAGAAAACTTATTATCAAGCAGCCGTTAAACCTGTTTGTCATGTATTAGGTCATCAGATGCATGTGCAAACAAAGAAGATCACTCACTCCAAAGCACAGTCTAACAGTCTGACAGGGCATGTAGACAGGAAGGATTACTGAACCGTGCTACCGAGCACAGGCCCAGGGGCCTCTCAAGGGCCCCCTGAAAGTCAAACGACTACAAAGAGACACAAAATTACTACAAGAAGAGACAGAAAGACATCTTAGAGATGCACAATTACTACAAAGATACAAAACACGACCACACAGAGACATAAAACAACTACAGTGTGACGGAAATACTGCAGACAAAGCATTTAAGTTCCAAAGAGACACAGAAATACTGCAGAGATACGAAACATCTACAAAGAGACACAAAACAACTGCAAAAGATACAAAACACGACCACACAGGGACACAAAACAACTACAAAAGATACAAAACACGACCACACAGAGACACAAAACAACTACAAAAGATACAAAACACGACCACACAGAGACACCAAACAACTACAAAAGATACAAAACACGACCACACAGAGACACCAAACAACTACAAAAGATACAAAACATGACCACACAGGGACACCAAACAACTACAAAAGATACAAAACACGACCACACAGAGACACAAAACAACTACAAAAGATACAAAACATGACCACAC